AAATTCCAGGCTCATGTTCATGATGGGTTTGTTGCGTGATCACTGCAAGGACGCTGTCTCGCTAAATGCGCCACTGCCGACTGTAAGTGAGCAGGGGTTGGATGTGGCGGTCATTGACTGTCGAATGGCGCGTGAGGAATGATAGATGTTTCTGTGAACCGGCTCATGCTTGGACGACTGGGACTTGGTTGTTGTCCATTGACTCAAGACTGGAATGGTAGTTGGATTTGGGGCAGTGTTGATTGAATATGGAGGAATGAAAGGTGTTTTGCAGGTGATACTGTGGTGGTGCTGTTAAACGGCGCATGCTTGGAGTTGGAATTGGTTGTTTTTCGGCTGGAATCTGACTGGTGCAGTGCGTTTGTCTATTGACTTAAGATTGGAATGTACGGTGAGCAGTGGTTGGACGTGAAGAGTACTGAATGCTTGAATATCGACTGATCGACGAAGAGCGTAAGGTGAGCGGTGGTTGGATGTGGGGATTATTGAATGTGGCTTGCGAATCAGGAATGATAGCTGTTTGGCAGGTGATGCTGTAGCTGCGGTGTGAAACGGCGCATGCTTGGACTTGGACTTGGTTGCTGTTTGGCTGGAATATCACTCGCGCCGCGCTTTTGTCCATTGACTTATGGACTGGAAGGTAAGGTGAGCAGTGGTTGGACGTGTGGAGTATTGAATGTTGAATATCGACTGATCGACGAAGAGCGTAAGGTGAGCGGTGGTTGGATGTGGGGATTATTGAATGTTGAATGGCAGGTGGGGAATGACAGATGTTTGGCAAATCGTGCTGTTATCGTGCTATTGAGCAGCACATTGTTGGACTTACGCAGAAGCCGCAGTTCGGGAGGAGGTGGCTCAGGTGAAGTCGCGTTTGGAGAAGATGCGAGAGCTAGCGAGGGCTGCTGCAGCACAGGCTCAGAGCGCCGCGGAGCGAAAAGCGGAAGCGAACCGGCAGCTTCAAAGCATCGAATCTCGCGAATGTCGCACAGAAGCTGCTCGGGCCGGGCTGTCAGCAATGGAGCGGAGCTTGGAATGCTCGGTGATGCAGGGCGAGCTGGCGGTTTCGGCGGAGCTCTGTGCCCAGGAGGTGGAGGCCTTCGCTGCGCCCCGCGAGCAGCGAGCCGAAGACGACGAGGACCATGCAGAAGCTGCAAAGCAGGACGCGGAGGCCGAAGAGGAGCGGGCCATGGCAGCCGAGGAAGCTTCGGCAGCTTCGGTTTTCCAGGGTCTCAGCTTCCAAGGGCTTTTGGAGAGGGTGCGAAAGCTGATCCAAGACGAGATCGAGCGAGCCGTTCGAAGGACGATCGAAGTCGAGAGCGCCATAAAGGAGGCCGTCTCCTACAGTGAGATCCGCACAAAGGAGCTTCTGAACTGCATGGAGAAGGCAGAGCCGATCGAATCGTCGCCTTCGCAGAACACGGATCTCCTGAAGAACCACTGCTCTCAGCGCTATGCCGAGGCTGCCCCAGAAGCGGCCTTCTGTAAGACTTGTGGACACACTCTGCAGCGGCATGTTATCTCAGACTCCGGGAGCCCCAGCTTGCGTGGAAAGAAGAGGCGTGCCGACAGCCACCTCCAGGGGAAAGAAATCCTGCAACCCTACAAGTGGTGAGCCATAAAAGTTGTTCTGCGCGAAGTGAGACTTTCAAGCGCATAGTGGTGACAGCATTTCTGTGCAGCTGTTCATTCGTTGGTCCACCGATGTGCTCCTAGAATTCGACCAACATGACCTGCGATTTCGCTCGCGCTTGACGTCCAAGAACCTCATCTGCTTCGCCAGCTTGTCCTTCTTCTGCTGTGAAGCTTCGTGTAGTGTTTCCCGAGACTCTAGAGAGCGAGTGTGCAGCCATGTGCATATAGATGGCCTGGAACTGCAAGCAACGTCGAGAGCCATGATACTTCACAATGAGGGACCCTTTGACCACATATCCGGAATCCAGGGAGGCGAAATGCTAGCGCCAGTGCCATCCAGTGCCCCAAAGGCCAACTGTGCCTGAGACAGACAAGTCCCCCACATCCCGCGGGAAAAGAGTTCGCCACCATAAACACATTGTTGTCATCATCATATGATTATGCAGGTCTTGAGGGCTTCCGGCCCAGCTTCCGGGGATGTTGATGTCTGCGGCGCATTCAGCAGTCCTTCGGATCCTCTGAGAACAGCTGGTGCAATCCATTGCAAGAGCCTTTGCATGCATGTGGCCTTGTCGTCACGTACTACATGACGTGCAATAGCTGACTTGGTTAGTTTTCGGGTCGTCTGCGCCAGCTGCCATGGTCGATTCTGGCTGGGGCAATGCTGAAGATTCGGCTGATGGCTTGGAGGCCCTGCAAGTCTGATCATGTTGTCTTGAATTACTTGGCTGCTTCCCGTAGCAGGTTGCAGAACCAGGTGTTCTAGTGGGAGGCCTCAGCGTGGTGCGAATCGTGGTGCATCCGTCGGTTTGAGCTCGTGAGAGGTTCGTCTGCTTCGGGCTACGCAGGATCGCCAGTGCAAGAGGTGCTGGGCCTTGGTCTCGCCTGGGAAGCTCACAGCGAAGCATAGCGAAGCAAACTTCGTCCAGGCGCCGGCGCCAGTGGATCCCGAAGTGCCCGACCCCAAGTCTGCGGTTCATGCGATTCCATGTCCATCGCCGGTCTGGAGCAAATTGGGCAGGCACGCGGTTGCAGCCAGAGAGCTGGAACCGCAGTCCTACGAGGCTGCGTGGCCAGCATGGATGCACCGAAGTCGAATGCGAGGGTAACATAACAGCATGCAGCAGACATGTACTTGCTTGGGCCATCTCTGTCTCATAGGCTGCCAAGGGGAGTGTAGTGTGCAAATGCACACAGCACTCCTCCACCGGCTGCTCTTCCCCATCTCCTGTATCAGCAATCTGGCAAGTATGCTCAAGAAGTAATTAAGCTCGTGGAAGGCTGGCAGCAAGTCCGGAGACCGCGAGGGATTCGGCAGTTACGGCGGTTACAGCGGGTTCTCGGAGATGCCGGCTGATTCCGAGGTGCAAGACCTGCTTTCTGGCATCCTTGAGCTTCTTGGCTTTTTCAGTGTCGAGAGCTTCCCGTCCAGGCCCAGCACTGGTCCGGAAGGTTGGAGGTTCTACGGCCGCCAGAGGCGCTTGCGGCTTTTGTTGCCTGGGCTCACGGCTCACTGGCTTGTCACTTGACTCTCTCTGCAAGCCCACAGTCTCGCATGAAGTAGCTCAGAGACATGGATGCATGCAGACACAACTTGACACACACTCAGTAGACTCAGTAGACGGTAGAGGCATCGAGACTCCCATGGAGTGCTAGATGGCCAAGCGATGGCCTCGCACTGGCTGGTGCCGTTGCTGCGGCGCGGCCACGGCTTCAGCCACGGCTTCCACCGACGTCTCCAACGTGGGCCTCGGAGCTTTGGGGCCTTTCGGGCCTTTCGGGCTGGCCGGGTGCTTTCTGCCGCCCGGGATGCCTACACGGTCATGGGCCTGGACCGCCGCGCTTCGCAGCAGGAGGTCAAGGAGCGCTTCCGTGTCCTCGCAAAGCAGTATCACCCGGACCTGAACACCGGGGACCGCACGGCGTCTCTGAAGATGGCGGAGTTGACCAGCGCCTATGACACCTTAATGGACCCCAAGAAACGGGCTGCGCTGGACCAGGCCACAGCGGGCACCTCGGCGGGTGCTGGTCCGGGCTCCAGCTACACAGGTGGCTTCCCCTACGATGACAGCGACGGTTGGGTGTCTCCGTCCCAGATGTTCTCGGAGTTCTCGGATCTCTTCGGCCGCAACTCCCAGTTTCGCCCCAACATGGACGCCTCTGCGGCACAGAGGGGCGAGGCCAGCCGGTACTCAGCAGTTCTGGATGGTATTCTCCGTGCTGTGAGGACGTCAGCACTGGCCTCGACGTCACCTTTTTGGAGGCGTCGGCATGCGCAATCCGAAGCAGGCCGGCGGTGGGCTTGTCCGTCGCCAGGCCGCTCAGGGCTGCGAGAAGGTGGTCTCCCTGAGACTGAAGCAGGTTCGGTCCTGTGAAGATCTTTCGTCTTTCCCCCCCTCCAGACCACAGTATGTTGCTTGAGGTGTGTCAGGACTGCCACGGGACAGGAGCGCGAGAGGGGACGACTTGGTCCAAGTGCCGTGTGCCGACCTGAGGTGTGGGCCCGGCTAGATAGAATTTAGAATACTTGGTGACTAAGCCCAGTCGTATCGTCTTCAGGTCTGCCGAGGAACCGGGGTACTCCGACAAGAAAAGGGTATCTTCAGCATGGGCCTTCCATGCCAGAGGCGGTGCCGGTCGTGTTGCAAGCGGCTGCAACTGTCTGGCTTTGGAATTCGTGCAGGTGTCGAGGGAGCGGCATGGAGCCGAACTCAGAGGGGCATGGATTGCCAAACGGGATAGTGCAGGCGCTCCTTTTTCGAGCCTCAGGTCTTGGACCATCCTTGTCGAACTTGCCGTGGCGAGAGCACGGTGATGATGACCCGCGACATTCGCATCAATGTGCCCGCAGGGGTTCCTGCTCTGCCATCAGAGAGTCTGTAAGAGCTGCAAAATCGTATCCCCCTGCATCAGCTCAGCAGCTCAGCAGCTGAGGTTCGCAATCTCATGGAGCTTCGAGTCCCCGGTGCCTTGAGACGGTTTTCTGTATTGCTCTCTCTCGACAGAGCTTCCTTCTCCCTCCGGTCGGGAGCTGCAGGTGCCGGGCACGCTGGTAGCCGGGGCGGAAAGGCCCCCCGCGACCATGCGTGGCACAAGAGTTCTCGTCCGACCGCCATCCGGCGCAGGCGGGGCACCTCTTCGTGCAAGTGAAGGTGCTGCCGCACGAGAGGCCTGAAGATCTATGTCGGACCGCAATAGACATAGCAAACAACAGCAAAAGAGTACCCAGGACACAGGACTCCGACCACAGTAGACATGGCAATCAACAGCACTTTATTGGTGGGTCTAGTGTTACGTGGCATGGACCTTTATATTATGGTTATGTGCCCCGCGGCCTCCCCCCCCAAAGGTCAATGGTCCGGATTTAGGGGGGCCCCCCCTCCCCTGTGGTGTGGGGTGTCGGGGTCCCTCTTCCCCCTGTGGGGGTGGTTGTGGGGTTTTGGGGTGCAGGGTTTAGCTTAAGCTTTGGAGTTTTGGTTTTACGGTTACTGTGAATGTTTGCGAGGGCAGTTGATCCGGATAGCTCTCGGCATGCTTCATGTTTGACTTTTGAAAGCTGATTTGACCGCGCAGCAGTGTGGCTCCTGGTGCAAGCAAAAGAGCCGTTCGTTGCCGTAGCGTTGCAGCGGATGGGTGGCAAGGCTGCATTTTGTTAGGCTGCCTGCATTGGCAGCGGAGCCGAGGCTCCATGGCGGCTAGTTACAGCGCTGAGGTGCAGCATGATGCCTCCCAATCTGGGAGCGGGCAAGCGGCAGACCAAAGCAACGGCAATCAGGACCGGCAGTCTTGGTACAGCAGTAGCCAGTGGCAGGGTGCAGGAAATTCCTGGGATTACTACGGGAGTAATGGTTGGAGTTATTCTGCACCGAGCGCATGGGCTTGGCAAAGCGCCCCGTCTTGGGGCAATGCTCAGTGGGGCGGCAGCTGGTGGCATGGCGCCGCGTGGACGGATGATTCGACGAGCCAGTCGAAGAATGGGGCTGCTGAAAGCCAGGCTCAGGCGAGCCCAGAGGAGGCGGATACGACCAGGCTGCAATCTGCATCTACCATGGAAGAGGATCCCTGGGGTGTTCCAGAGGGCACCGGATCGCTGGACGATGATCAAGGATCGTCGAGCAAGCAGGGATCGGCGGCACAGCCGAAGGCCACCGGGAAAGACTATATCCCGGAATATGACGGAACCACTCCGATGAGGGAGTATCAGCGACGTGTCAAGCTGTTTGAGATGAGTACGGGAATCGACCCGTCGTTCAGGGCCCAGAAGTTGATGGAGAAGCTGTCAGGGAATGCCTGGTTGGCTACTGAGTCAATTCCTCTGGAGTCTCTGAAAGATCCGCAAGGGGTGACACGTTTGTTGGAGCACCTCTGGAAGGAGCTCGAGCCGCTGGAGTTTCTGAGGACGTTCCAGACTTTGGCAGATTTTTACAAGGGTTTCAGAAGATCAAAAGGGCAGGAGTTCGTCGCCTACGACATGGAGTTTAGGCGGCATGGTCAAAGGCTGGAAGAAGTGGGGGCTGGTATCGCTGGTGTGACCAAGGCGTACTGGTTCCTGGAGAAGGCTTCACTCTCCAGCGAGCTGCGGAAGCAAGTCGTGGCAGCGGCGGGTGGCCAGTACGATTACAACAAGCTTCGTGCCGCGGTGATGGCGATTGTTCCTCAGGTGAACAAGGAAGATGACGGGCCATCTACGAGCTCAAGTGGAGGCAATCATCGACAATGGCGGCGGTCCCCTGCTAAGGTACATGCCACGACGCAAGATGGCGATGAGAACATGGAGGCCCCGGAAGGCGAGGAAGTCGAGGAGTTCCCCGTCGAGGCCCTTGAAGAGGAACTCCAGGTCCTCATGACGCAAGCAGCTAAGAAACGAGCCCAGGTGGAGCGTGCTCGTGGCTATGGCGCTCCGCCTCAGAAAGGGGCGAACCGTGGCGAGACGCCGGAGGCTCGTGAGCGGCGGATCGCCGAGCTAAAACGGCGTATGCCTTGCTCAGCTTGCAAGGCGAATGGCCGTACAGTTTACGGCCACTGGCACAGCGATGCCAGCTGCCCCTTCAATCAGAAGGGGAAGGCCGAAGCTCCCGCTGGAAATGTGATGGCGGTGATTGAAGAGGAGCTCTCGGACTCAGATGAGTATGGTCCTGACTCCTCCGACGTCTTCTTCACGGAGTACCTTTGCGCGAGTGCGGTGTCCCAGATCGAGGTGGATGGTCACGACCACCGATTGGCCCTGTCGGACACCTGTTGCGCGAGGTCGGTAGCTGGAGAAGCATGGGCGTTGCGGCATATGCGCCACCTTCACGGTTTGGGAGTTGATGTTTATGTGGTTGATGAGCAGCGCCCATTCCGTTTCGGGGCCGGTCCTCGTGTGGAGTCCCGTTACGGAATAATTGTCATGCCGCTGATTGTGGAAGCTGCTCAGGTGACACCATGGGTTCGTGTGAGCGTTGTTCAACAAGACGTTCCGCTGCTGCTGAGCAAAACGGCCTTGAAGGGTTTGGGAGCGCGCCTTGACCTGGGTGATTCGAGGATCCTTCTTGGGAAGCTGGGCACCCAGGCGCCGCTGATTGAGACCGCTTCAGGACTGTGCGGTTTCATGATCAACGACAACATGGCGTTTTCTGAGAACGACATGACTTTGCCGCCTCAAGCAATGCTGGAGGGCGAGACCGAGATCTATGTACCTGGCGAGGCCGAGGGCGAGAACGTCGAGCCGATCTACAAGGTCCATGCCGAGGCCGATCGAGGAAGCACATGCCAGAAGTGCGAGACTTGCGCGAGAGCTCTGATCGAGAGCCGAGATTTCTCCTACAATGCCTTGGAGATGTTGGCTAACCTTCTCCCGGAGGTGAAGATGAAGAAGCAGCGGGCTATCAACCAAGCCGGGGAGAGCCGAGCGCAAGGTCTCGTTGCTGGGGTGTGGGCCCATGGAGGTTTCAGTGGGATAACTCGAGCTACGAGGGACCTGCCTTGGACCATCAAGTATATCAACCAGTTCTTGAGGCAGCAGGTGAAGATGGAATGGAGTTCTTTTGTGCTGATGAAGAACATCAAGACCAACCTCCACCGCGACAAGAACAATGCCAAGCAAGCTTTGTCGGCCACGGTGACGTTTGGAAACTTCCAAGGCGGCGAGCTTTGGATGCGTGAAGGGTCGGCCGAGAACCAGCCGGGCGCACCGGTTGATCGACGAGATTGCGAAGGAAAGCTTGTGAAGGGCACTGTGGTCAGCACTCGAGAAAAGCCGCTGGTATTTGACCCGCGAGTGTCTCATGGGACTCAGCGATGGAAGGGCACCCGATGGTGCCTGACGTGCTATGCGAACGGACTGCGATGCCTTGTCAGGTTCTAAGGTGTCACTATAATAGCTGTGAGCAAGACCGTGTAAAGTGCAAGAGAAGGGGGCACGCTACGCGTCCCTCGACTCTAAGGGGGCACGCTACGCGTCCCTCATCTTTACCATTCTATGTGACCGCCAACGCAACGTTTGGCTCAAGTCAATGCCCATAGCTAAGTGCTATATGTGTCTTCTATCCTGAGCAATCAGAGCTATCCCGTTGCACAGACGAACCGCCGCCGGCAGTGAGTGCAAAAGGAACGGCCGCCGGTTCTGCCTGCATAGGATTGCACGTGTGGAAGTGAGAGAGAGAGACAGGGTCCAGTCTGTGGAGAGTGCAAGCCAGCCACACCTACATTCATTACAGCTCTGGTGGGGAGAGCAGCAACCTAGTCGAGATCAATCCCCCACGCAGGTTATCAGCCGTACGCGGCTCTGCCTTTCTACAGCAACGACTACTTGATCTACTACGACCACAATGAACTCGGGATCAAGCCAAGATACGACAATGACTTTCGGTGCCGATGTGGCAGCGCCAGCCGTTGGTGAGTCAACAGCTGATGACACAGTGGTGCAATCCGTTGATAGCTCCACGGAAGATGACAAAGGTCAATCTTCTGCGCTTGCCATTGCAAAGGCAGTTCCCAAGGGGAAAGCAAAGAGTCTACCAAGAGCATCTACGCCTTCGCGTCCGACATCCACAGGTTCGAGGACGGGCAAGGCTCCGGAACGACGGGCCGAAGCGTCTGGTTTTCAGGCACCTCGGACTACGTCCAGGGCCAAGGACAAAGGAGTGAAGACCTTGGAAAAGAAGTCAAGGCCATCATCTTCGAGGAGCTCTTCAGCACGATCGAGGACCTCAGCCACTCGTGGACGTGACAAGTCGATGACATGGAATCGGATGGTTACCAACCAACCACGCGATGCTGACGATCTGGATATGACTCTGGACACTATCCCAGCACGCGGTGATGCGTCATCGGTGGCCACGCCAGCCATAGCCGATGGTCCGAATGCTTATCAGGAGCTGACGATTTCGCAACAGTTCGAAGCATCGAACCTCGCGCAGCAGATGTACTATCGCAGTCAGATGCAAGAATACGAAGGAGTCGTCCAGACCCTGATGGACAAGATCAAGGAGATGCAACAAGAAGATGAAGGATCTGGAATTCGCATTGAAGAATTGGAACGACAACGTGACCATGCATGCTTAGCCATGAGGCACATCAACAATGTCAATCAGGAGATGAAGCGAGACTATGAAGCAGCTTTGTAACTCTGCTCAACAACGTCAAGCACACGCCGTTGCCGAGGAGTTGGCTCAGCAACTACATGTGTTTCGCACGGAAGCAGCCACCAACTTTGTGCAGTTGGAGGCAAGAGCGCAAGGCGATGGCGAGCTTATGGCACGTGAGTATGAGCGTCTGACTCATGAACTTCATGAACATGCCAGAGAGAACTTGTTCCTCCGGTCGAACACAGCAAGTTCGGAACAAGCTTTACAAGCAATGCAGGAACGATTCCACTTAGTCAAGAATCAGGAGTTGCGGGCCGTGAACGAGATCCAAGGGCTAGCTGGAAACAGCGCAGCCATTGATCAAGAACGACTTCGGCTTCGTGAACGTCTTGGTGAAGAGGAAGAGTACCGCAAAATGGCTGTGAGGAGGATGCAAGACGCAGAGGATCGACTTCATCAGAATGAAGATCATGCAAGGCGAGCACTGCCTACCTTGCACGACGAGCTGAGTGAACTCAGGAAAACGCTCAAAGCACAAGAGGATCTTCAAGCGAGGACACGCAGCGAATTGGAGGCAGCGCGGAACTCCAACTATGGTGGAGCGACACGGCCTTCGAGCATGCCCATGTCTTCGAGGACTACTGAGTCTGGCTGGGAGCACATAGGAAAGGAAGTAGTGCCTGCATTTTCCTTAGGAGGTGAGGTACGATCCCCTGAAATACGGTCCCCAAGTCAAGTTAGTCCAGTCGCCAAAGAGAAGTTCGCATTCTCGGAATCGGACAAGGACAAGATTCTCGCGA